ACTTCTGTTTTGCTGCGCTTCCTGGAAAAATAGTCTGCAATGGTCTTCTCTTTCCCCTATATGTGTTCTAGTTTATACTTGAAACCAGCCAGAAATGCTGCCCATCTTTGTAGGTAGTCAATTTTCGTACATTTTTGGAATTCCTTTATGTTCGCCCATCAATGTAATTAGTGGTTAATGATCTGTTCGAATTGTGAAAAATCTTCCTGCCAGGTACTGGTAAAAAATTTTGTCAAGTGTTGTAAGGTGCTGTATGATTCTTCAGCTTTTGTCAGTGACCTAGAAACAAAATTTATTGGTCTTTCTACTCCATTTGGCATAATATGTGATAAAACAGCGGCAATGCCGTAATCGGAACCGTCCGTTGTTAAATAAATGGGTAATTAGGATTAAAATATGTTAGTACTAAATCAGACATGAGTATTTCTGTTTTTCCATGAATGCTAATTGACGTTCTTTGCTCCAATAAAATTAAATTTCTTTTTTGAGCAAATTATACAGAGTGTATCAGGTATGAGTACAAATACTATATGCCGAGTATTTGTCCTCACTCGCATTCGAAGAACCAACACCTAGTACCTCATAGCCAGTTAGAAAACGTCTGCGTTTGGGTGTGTTCCAACGAAATGAGCACCAACGTATTGACTCTCCAAGATCTGCTATATAATCAAAACCTTTGCTATTTAGATGTTTCAACTGCAAGGATGAAGGACATCCTACAAACAAATGTCCAAAACCTAGGATCGAATGTACAAAGCTGTAGTGTAAACGCCTAGGACAAAAATCAAATAGCAATTCAACAGTCAGAATTTACTAACGAAACGTAATATTTTGATTATTGGATAAATGGAACTTTATTGAAATGCTATGTGGATTCGGGCTGTAGTGCAGTTCTAATTAGAGAAGTGTAACAGTAACCATTTCAGGCTATGAAGGATCTCTTGTGAATGTTGTTGGCACTACTAAGGCCCATTTAAAAGAAGCGGACGCAGAAGTTGAGATATTAGTAGTACCACATGAGATTCAAGATGTTGCAATTATGGTAGGGCAGACTTTTCTGCATCAGCCTCATATAGCCATGATAGTCTGTGGAGAAACTGTAAGGCTGTTGCCAGCTGATGAAGATATAAGTAGTTGCATAGATATCAAATCGAGGAGAATACCCTTATGGACAAAGTGTTCTACAGTCCAGCGAGAACAAAAGCACTTCTTGCAGTCACATCGTGTGGCAACTATAATGGAGAAGTCTGGTCTCGTAGAGGACTGCATCACGAACGCAGCTGATGGGTTTATCTGCATGATCAATTTATCCAATCAAGAACTCTTGAACTGGGCAAAGCAGACATTTCAAAAATGTCTTTATATCTTAATGATGATACACCTGTAGTATATAGACCATAGCGTCTTTCCCACAATAAACGAAAAGTTGTGAGACAAACTGTGGAGGATTTATTGCATAGTAAAATGTATTGTATATTGTCGATGAAGAAAAAGAATGGCAAGCAGCCCATGTGTGTTGACTTTAGGGCACTTAACGCTAAAACTGTTAAAGACCGATTCCACTTCCACGAATAGAAGATTTTTTGGAAAGTTTAAAGGGTTGTGAATATTTCACATGCTTAGATCTGGCGAGTGGTTATCACCAGATTGAAATGGAAAAGTCATCCATCTCAAAGACAGCTTTTATTGCGCCAGATGGCCACTACGAGTACCTTAGGGTCCCATTTGGCTTATGTAATGCGCCTGCAATATTTCAGCGAACTATAAATAAAAATGGCCATTGCATACACGAATAGCAAGGATTTTGATAAAGGATTGTCAAATCTAAGAAAGGTGTTTCGAGCATTAGCTACTCATGGTCTTACATTACGTTTATCAAAATGTCATATTTTCAAAGAAAGGGTCGAATATTTAGTTCATGAAGTTTCTAAAGAGGAAGTGCATCCAGGAAAAGGAAAATCTGGAGCAGTTAGTAATTTTCCAGTTCCCTCAGATTCTCGATCTGTTCGTCAACTTTTGGGTCTTGCTGGTTATTTCAGGAAGTACCTGAGGAACTTTGCTACAGTCGCTAGGCCTCTAACCTCTCTGACCCAAAAAAATGCTAAATTTGATTGGAATATTGAAAAAAGTAGAGCTTTCAATACTCTTTTGCGTGTCAATATGAGGACTTAAAATTTAAGAATCCCGCTAGCTAGACATTGTTGCGCGTAAAATTACCCTTAAACTGTTTGAATACTAAATCTGAATTAATAAACCCCAATAGGCCTAGGTACAGTAAGACACCCTTAAGGAATGCGGCCAGCGCAACAAAGTGCTCGCGGCTACTCAGTGGTGTGGAAGTAGGTTCAATATTAAAAGTTAGCTTAATAGGGCGCCACTGGTTTATAAAATACAATCCGCGGACTTAAACCAGAAAGTCCCTGATCTCCAAAATTCCTATAAAAATGTACCTACCCAATGTACCTATCCTTTAAAACAACTTTACCTTAGTTTGGTTGAGGTCAGTAGGGATAAAAATAAGAGTCCAATCTAAAAACAATTATTAAAAATCTATTTAATAAAATAGGGGAAGGTTATGTTTAGAACTGCAAAGGCCAATATAAGGCAATATGTAAAATACCACAGAAATTATTATTATTAAATGTGAAAATTACCAAAAGGTAGCAAGGACCAATTTGTATTGGTCTCAAATAAGACACTCCAATATATTCAAAATTTACCAATAAATAAATATTTGCCTACCTTAGTTCAATGAGGGTAAAAGAGAACAAATAGTTATAAAAGATGTTAATAATAATAATGAAAATCTGTGCACGCTTATACCATGGTATACCGGGGCGGATTTGTACAAAAATGTCACCTTAAATATAGTACATTAAAAATCATTGGTACTGTACACCCTTATAATGATTAAGGCAGTAAAACAACCTTGGAAATATACCAGTTAAGTATAAGAAATACCATCAATAATAATAATAAAATAATTTAAGAAATGTTAATAAATCAACGGGTACATCACCCCCTTGTTGTCCTCCCTGCAGTTCAACCACCCATTTCTATAACTGTCTCCTGACAGCCTTACAACCTGCATAACAGACCCCATCAACTTCTATTGACTCCCTTCTTAAAATGTGAATTTCGGTCTCAATTAGTGTTGTGGGTACTCTTGACACCTCAACTTCAAGACTAGTAAACCGTCAAAGAGGAAAACCCAATGGTGAAGGTAAAATCCAGACTAAAACCCTCGCTAATAAGCCTAGAAAACCCTGAAAGAGTACAAAAGTCTTAGAACTCCTTCATATTTATAAAAAAATGAAAAATCCCAACCCTCAAATGGTATATAAATGATTGGAATTAAATAGCAAAATCCCCTGAAACCTGTAGGTTATCTTAAACAAAAAACCCCCCTTTTTTTTTACTGACAAATGGCCTCGTGGAGGTCAAATTGCCCTTTTTTATAGAATCCCAAATATTTACAAAAATTACTGAAAAACTAATCTAAATATTGATAACGAAAAGGTAAATTTGAGAATGGTAAAAACGTTTAAAATTACCTGGTTACAATTTGGGCTAGTTGAACAAAACGTGGCTCTGCTCTTCACACGACAAACCAACAAAATGGCGTAGACTTCGTTTCCAGAAAATTCTGTGTGGTTGGCTTACAAATACGGGTACGACCAAATCCAAAGCTTTCACCCCAAAACCAATTTAAGCTAGCAACCACTTGAAATCCCAGCGTCTTCAAAATCCCACAAAAAGGTGGATGTTCCAAGGAACGTTGCCAAGAGGACCGCTGGTAAAATCTGCCAAAGGACTTGTTGTTTGCTCAACGTGCGAATTTAATAGAGAACGATCCCTTTTCAGCGATTTATTAGGTAGGCTCAATATGAAAAATTTTCTAGAATTCCAGTTTTTTTCTTTAAGATGTCCTCTGGTGCCAGATTTCCGATCTCGACCAGGAAGACGGAACACCCAGTTTGGCACGGAATATAATCAGCTTGAAACAGAACACTCCAAACCACAATGAAGACCAACATAACTCAAAGTTGTTATCAAATTCTCTCCCCTAACACCAATTACTACTAATTAATCACTTATACAAGTTATTAATCAGCATCTACCTAGTCTTCGGTCTAAAATCTATCAAAACGACCAGTGACTGTTTAGGGATTATAATTACAGTGACCCTATTACCCACAGCGGTCAAGTACGTCGGCAGCAGTGCTGCCCGAAACGAATCCACAAGTGGCTTATAACCCCACTATATTTTTGAGAAAAATAAACATTTGAAAATGCGAAAAATAAAGGAAATAAGGGTGGAAAATCGATTTAGAGTGTGTTAAAGTGATTTGTGTTGTTGCAGAAATTTTAATAAAGGAAAATACTAGATTCGTAAGTGTTGACAATTGATATTTATTTGAAAGTAAACAAACCTTTTCACCGATATTTAGGACCTTTTAAAAACTTTCGAAAGATAAATAAAGTGGATTCCTATCCCAACAGTAGGGCTTTATTATCCTAAAACTACCCCGTCCTCTGAATACAAAGAATTCACTCATTATTACCTTGAAAAATATACCTTTAATCAACAACCAGATATTGTTTCGCATCCAAACAAAAAGGTAAAAATCTAGCAAAATTCAATGAGCAACCTATCAATCACTGAAAAACATTAATTCTCAGGTATACAGCTTTATAAATACCCTCACAAATAACTGAATTAATTACTGAATTCATTCGAAACCTTTAGTTACGTTAGGGCAAAATTTTAACGTAACAACATGATATGAGTAAGTGAGTGTAAACCAATTGAAGCCAAGCGTGAGTTTTTCCCTAATTAAACTTTAAAATAGTCCATTTACAACGTAAACACTGGCTTGCAATGCAAAAACCTAAAAGCCATTGAGGCTTTTCGGACTCAACTGGACTCGGCAAACTACCGATTCACTCAATGGTTATGTTGCGGGTTTTAATTAACGGAAGCGCGTGTTTTGTTCCAGATTCAACATTCCCCAAGTGAGAACCCGCCTGGAAAAGTTAATGGGCACAAACTATGTCAGTCTAACAGACAAAGAATATATGCAAAGGCTGCAGCAACGTATCCTTGAAGATTATGAGGAGCAGATGGATAAGAGAATTAAGATTCGGCAGGTCAGTCTCTCATTTCCCAATATTTTTATGTCTCATGTATTCTGGAAAAAAAAAATTGTTTCAGAAATACAAACAAACTTAATAATTTGAAGCTTAGGTTTCCTTTTAACGTGAATCTCCGATTTGATTGTTTCAGTTTTTAGAAAACAAAACCCCTTCATAAGAAATTCCTTTACCTTTTCCAATAATTAAAAATTCAACCCAACGGTTTCTACCTATTTCTATATTTGAACCATTCAGTTCTTGGATCTGAAATGTAATATCTTTCTTTGAAAATTAAGTTCATAGTTGGTTAAAAATTATATGAGTAACTATGGCAATTTCGTAGAAATAAAAGATTTTTCTTAGAAATTTCAATTATTGAATTTCAGATTTGCTTGGAAAACTGAAATCAATAAAAAAAAGTCTGGGTTTTCAATTTGATTTCAAGCTCACTTAAGAAGCGCATTATCGTTCAGTGAGATAAAATATTATTTTTGAAAAACAATATCTTTATTATTTAGTCGTAGGTATGTAGTATAGAAAAATTGATTCACAGTGATAAATGAAGTACCCACTTCTATATAAATCTAAGCTTTTTTGGCTTTTAACAATGCTGTCGCGTGATTGCAGATTGGCCGAAAAGAACTTAAAAGAAGTGGCAACTTCTCGAGGGCTGGAAATAATTCTCTGAACTGACCCTCTTCGTCGCAATTCTGTTTATTTTATTACTTCGAATTTGTCACGTGCAACAAATTCTATGATAACACACGATATCGTAATAAATAAAATTTCAAACGGTATTTCCGCAAAACACAAGAACAAACATTTTGTGACTGGTTGCATAAAGCCAACGTCTATTTCAATGTTCACTCATTCATTCCACAATATACTGACCGAGATATGATATTCATGTTTTTTTTTTGTTTTAGGAAGAAGAAATGGAAAGAGTTAAAAACTTAGTCCTTCTGGGTAAAATCCCATTGGATCAAGCGCCACCGGAAATGGCTCGTCACCCTATAATGCTGATAGAGAATTACTGTAATCAATTAATTGCCGAAAGAAGGGCCAAGGTGAGATAGAAAACGTTTTATTGGTTAAATCAGACAAAAAGAAAACATTCTAACATTGTTTACTTTCTTTCAGTAGCATAATACATCATTTTTCAGGGATGAAATGCAATTTTTACTGACACCAAGGAGTTTATTTTTATTTGGAAAATACACTTAACTTGAACGATACGAAGTGAGATGTGTGTGCTCGCAATTGCATAGTTTATGTTTATATTGGAAAACATACTTTGTTGTGAAATTAAATATTTCAATTTTTCAATTTGTCAAGGTGTCCAGTAAATAGTCTTTGAAAGTCATCCAGTAAATAGTCTTTGAAAGTCGTAATATTGAATAAAATTCACAAGGAAATATTTTCATTGATTCGAGATCTTATAGGGTTTTTCCGATAAAGTGCCAGAACATCCGCAATTTGAAATGCGTTTTTCTGGATTCTCACGGCCTACTACCTACACACAAAAAAAAAACTTTTAAAATCACGTGATATAGAGCTTGAATAAGATTGTAGTGAAAAAACTGTTACTGATGATTTGAGTATTTATGAATCCTTGTTTGTGTGGATGAAAAAGAAGTATTCTATGATCAAACTACCCAACAAATGACATAAAAGTCGTAATGAGGGTCGAGAGGAACAGTTCCTGGGAACTATAGGCGGCAGACACTAACTCCATAGAAGAACCGCAACGATAATGAAGAATTTTTAATTAATTTTGCCAATAGGAAGAATACGGTTATGAGTTCTACCTCTTTCCGTACACAAAGCTACGTGGACCATGCCAGGTGGAGCTGCCATAAACCAAATAGCATAACTGATAAAAAAAAACCGACGGAGAGCATGCTGCGGGTCACACCACCTACTGGTGCAGCTGAAGTTCAGATGCAAAATATCCAGAAACAACATCAGTACAAACCCAGCACCGAACTGCTTCGACGTCGAATAAGTTAAGATTGGAAAAGGCTCCCAAAGATACAAGCAATAATTCTCCCGAAGAATAACAATCACAAAAATTTTTAAGTGCTGAAGAACATGCTAAAACCCGCACAACGCAAATAAGAGGCAAGAAGAAGAGACGAAAAGGGCGGATTGGTTTGATGATGAGTGCAGAAGGGCCATAGAAAATCGGAAAAAAACTCATAAGGCTTCATCGAGAGAAGAACAAGGAAAAGAAGATCTGCATCAAAAGGGAAGGGCTGACAAACATGTCGCAAAAAGTACAGAAGATCTGAAAACGAGAAAATGCGATGACTGGAACATTACTTTGAAAATAATGATCCGAGAGTGGTTTGAGAGGAGACAAACATTTGATAGCACCTCTCATGAATCAATAAAGAATGTGCTCGTCAAAAAAGGTGTGGACAAAACAACATCCACCTGGATGTGCGAAACGCTAGCCACCAGAACTGCAGAAACTGACGTGGGTGGACAAACCAAACACGTCACCACCACTAGAGGATGTCCGCAGGGAGGGGTACTCTACACCTTGGACATTTATCTTTTTGAATGTAACACTTGCGCAGCAAAATTTAATCTGAAAGGCAATTTGAAGAGTCATATATTAACACTCTCGGATATTTTTCCTTTTGAATGTAACACTTGTAAAGCAAAATTTCAACGTAAAGGCAATTTGAAGAGTCACATATGAACACACTCGGATGAGAAGAATTTTGAATGCAACATATGCGAGGCTAAATTGAAAACCAAGGATGCTTTAAGAAAACATTTAATGATACACTCGAATATTATTCCCTTTGAATGTGATACTTGCAAAGCAAAATTTAAACATAAAAGTAGTTTGAAAAGTCACATATCAACACATTCGGATATTTATCCTTTTGAATGTAACACTTGCAAAGCAAAATTTAAGCATAAAAGTAATTTGAGGAATCATTTAGTAACACACTCAGATGTTTACCCATTTGAATGTGACACTTGCAAAGCAAAATTTCAACGAAAAGGCGATTTGAAGAGTCACATATCAACACACTCGGATGAGAAGAATTTCGAATGCAACATATGCGAGGCTAAATCAAAAACCAAGGATGCTTCAAGAAAACATTTAATGATACACTCGGATATTATTCCCTCTGAATGTGATATTTGCAAAGCAAAATTTAAACATAAAAGTAGTTTGAAAAGTCACATATCAACACATTCGGATATTTATCCTTTTGAATGTAACACTTGCAAAGCAAAATTTAAGCATAAAAGTAATTTGAGGAATCATTTAGTAACACACTCAGATGTTTATCCATTTGAATGTGACACTTGCAAAGCAAAATTTCAACGAAAAGGCGATTTGAAGAGTCACATATCAACACACTCGGATGAGAAGAATTTCGAATGCAACATATGCGAGGCTAAATCAAAAACCACGGATGCTTCAAGAAAACATTTAATGATACACTCGGATATTATTCCTTTTGAATGTGATACTTGCAAAGCAAAATTTAAACATAAAAGTAGCTTGAAAAGTCACAAATCAACACACTCGGATATTTATCCTTTTGAATGTAACACTTGCAAAGCAAAATTTAAGCATAAAAGTAATTTGAGGAATCATTTAGTAACACACTCAGATGTTTATCCTTTTGAATGTGATACTTGCAAAGCAAAATTTCAACGAAAAGGCGATTTGAAGAGTCACATATCAACACACTCGGATGAGAAGAATTTTGAATGCAACATATGCGAGGCTAAATTAAAAACCAAGGATGGTTTGAGGAAACATTTAATGATACACTCGGATATTTATCCTTTTGAATGTAACACTTGCAAAGCAAAATTTAAGCATAAAAGTAATTTGAGAAATCATTTAGTAACACACTCAGATGTTTATCCTTCTGAATGTGACACTTGCAAAGCAAAATTTCAACGAAAAGGCGATTTGAAGAATCATATATCAACACCTCCACAGTGATGTGAAGTCTAGTAGTTAATGACCTCCAAAATTTATCGACCGATCAGGGCTTTACCTGCTTTGGATACGCCGCAACTGACACCTTCAACACACACATACACACGTCATACACACAGAAAGCTCAGCGTAACAACAAGGTGCCAGGAATTGACAAACTTCCCACTAAATTGTTCTAAGCAAGGATGACACATCGCATAACAGCAGAGATGCAGGCATTGGTTTCAAAGATCTGGACAGAATAGCGAATCCCCGAAGACAAAAGGAATGGAAATATCTGCCCTATTTACAAGACAAATTAAGCTGCGAAAACTATCGAGAAATTAAATTACCCTCCCAAATAAGCGTTTACAGCCGATCTCAAAGAATATAATTGGTTAATATCAAGCCGGCTTCAGACAAAATTACTCTACAGCGGACCAACTCTTTGTGGTGAAACAAATGCTTCGTAAAGCTTGGGGAACATGACATCGACATTCATAACTTCTTCATAGACTTCAAAAGCACCATCAATAGAGGGCGACTATACTAGGTTCTTCACAGCTTCAGCATCCCTCCCAAAAATATATCAGACTAGTAAAAGCCACAATGCACACTATAACGGGCTTCAGTGAAAATACAAACATGACATATTCAACATAAACAAAGAGCTCAAACAAAAAGATGGACTAGCTCGGACACTGTTCAACTTGGCGCTAGAGTACGTCATCCGAAAAATAGACATAGGAAGATCAAACCTACTAACATCTAAGTCAGCATAGTTATCGGCATACGCAGACGACAAACAACAATGACAGACGCACTAGAGTTGAGGACGACCTTGAAGCGTTTGATATTTCAAATACCTGGGAATTGAAATAAACACATCGGGGAACGAGGAAGGCGGAATACAAAACAGAACACAGACATTCTTCTCTTTGTCACAAGTATTTCTCTCTGGAACCATTCATCACAAATCCAAGGTCAGAATCTACAAAACCATTATCAGACCAGTTTTATGTTATGGATGCAAAACATGGGTCATGACTGACAGCCTGAAAAGCAAGCTGACAATTTTTGGAAGAAAAATCGCCCGAAAATATACCTATAGGGCGTAAATGAGAATGGGATATGAAGAACACGCTACAATCAGCGTTTTCCGGATTTATCTAGAACCCTTGCTTAGCACAATAAAATTCCTCGAATAGTTACGGTAGACATAAACAACTCGATTCTTAGAATGCCGCCTGGCTCTTGTAGCAATTTTGTAACGATACATTATAGATATGTTGCGCTAAATGTAAAATCCATATGTGTCCTTGTTAGGTCAAAAAATTGAATTAAAACCACACATTTCATTTATTTCACCATTAAAACAGGCTCGTTGTTAAATTATGTTGGACTGCTCTATAGCCGCTTATCGAATCTATTTTGAAGCGACTATAGAACGAGGTTGTGGGTTTCAATCTATTTTCTCTAATAAATTCAAATTGTATTTATTTTATTTAGATGAGAATCTACAAATCCAAAATTCCGACGTACCTCTATTGGGACGACACTCCCGAACCACCCTCGGGCCTGTCCATAGAATCCGGACACGTTTTCAGAGCACCAGACGAGAGACTGTGTAATCCGGTTCAACAACATCTGGAAGCCTCCGAAGAAGACGACATTTCAGTTGGTTACATGATGAGTCCGGAGGAATACGGCAAATTTAAATACGAGAGCTCGTTGGTGAAGAGATTGATGGCGTGCGAGGTAACTACAATAATATGTTGAGACTATAGCTAAGAATTTTAATCAATAATACTAAATGAATTGAGCTCAGAAAGTGATCATTTGAAAAAAAAATCGACTTATAACATGTTTGAAATTTTTTGTTTTTTAGACCGTTGAAGAAATGTACGCCCTAGCCGATGACATTATAGGCGCTTTAAAAACAATAGAGGTATCATCAAAAGTACCTGAAGAAAATGCATCCGAAACCTTAGCATCTAGTTCTTAAGTTCATCCTATCTTGCTTTAAGATAAACAATCATTTGTATCGCATATTGGTATAGGAATAAAACCATTATTGGATTATAGAGTTATGTGTTTAATTGAAATTCAGATCTCCAATATTGTTATGTTACCAGACAAATAATTAAAAATCTTGTGAATAAATTGGATTTTACACTCGTATTTCTGACGCGCGAAATCGAGCATTTTTTTTAGTTTAGTAGCGTGTATGTGGGTTTAAGCGATTTTTCCATTACCAAAGAATGACACAGGGTATTTGTAATTATTATTGGAGCTGTCTAGCTTTTGATTCGACGAGGGTTGATAGATTAGCATCATAATAAATTAGAAACGTATGCGACTTCATGCATAATGGATTTTTGGTTTCCTACAAAAACAAGAAAAAAAAAAAGAAATACATTCAAAATCTCGTTACCTACTGTCCACCCAAGTTAAGAATACCGGTTAAAAAAAATGTGAAGAATTCAAGTTCATAGAAAACATAGTTGTCACGTACACTCATTACAAAAAAATGAGGCGTTTAATTATTGTTATTTGTTGTGTGTATTGTGTTTTAACTTGGGCGGACAGTACTTTCGTTCTACCATAAACGGTGTTCGCGCGCGATGTTTGACCCATTTCCCGATAAGATAGTAATTATGAAATTTTCAGGGAACTTGGAACTTTCAATTTTGTCGAGCCAAAACAATTTTCGTCCCGCCCACCCTTCCTCTGGGGAACCCTGGGGGGGCTGTCAAAGTTTTGACTTCCGGCCTCGGTACAGCCCAAACGGCTGGGAGTGGAGGAAAGTTAAAATTTTGTAGGGTTGTATAACAATGACGACCATGAGACCAAGTTGGAAATGTATTTAGCCCCCCCCCCCCCCCATTGATGGAGAGAGGTAATTTCCAAAAATTCGGTGAGGGCGAACCAATGGTTCTATCGAGCTGAAATTTGGTAGCCTCTGTCTTGAAGGGGCCCTCAATTTTTTTTTGAGCCAATTTGAACGAAATTCGGAATGTATGTAAAAGGGGTCTAAAAAAGTTGATATTCCAAGTTTCAGCGCTCTATGATCTACCGGAGGGGTTTTAGCCCCTATCCCCTCAATTTTGAAAAAGGGCGTGTAATGGAGTATAAACGGCCTGCACTTAATTTTCCAAATTTCAAAAAATAAAGTATACCATTGGATATAGGAGCAAAAAAAACGTCGAAAATGTCTCTGGGCGTTTTTCCTTCCGACGCTTCCTAAGCCCGCAAAGAAATAAAAAAGATTTGGATCCTGGAAAATTTTGGTATTTTTGAACGGATTCTCTTGACTCAGGTTTCTTTCGAAAGAGGATTGAATTACCTACAAAATTATTTTTCATTGATATTCCAGGTTGTTTCTGTCTCCGAGATATAAGCCGTCAAAATTGGAATTATCCTGATAATGTATTGAAAGTTTCGAAGTCGATTTTATCGAAAACGGTTTCTTCTCCCAGGCTCTTCGTTTTCCAGGAAAATTAAAAAAATTACAATAAAAGTTGTTTTGAGAGGCTATTGATTATGTCATTCAATGAGGAAGTAAGATGTTAGTGGAATTTTATTGGTTGATATGTTCAAAAATGGTCCCTAGAGATGATAAAACCGCGGAGTGCTACCAGGTATCATCAATATTTAATAGAACAATCTTTTTGGCTCTAGAAAATAAATGGTTTTTTATGTGTTATTTTTCTATAGCCTTCACCTTATATAACGCCTATAAGACCTTTAGAAAAAATTAAGTAAAGGTCACATCTGCATTTGCCAGAAATTGAATTGATTTTAAAATAAGTTAAATTAAAGTTAATCACGGTTCGTTTATTATGATTAATGTCGCAAACATAATTTATATAAATAAAACCTCTTATTGTTAGTTTACCCTGAAAGATTTTTCACCCCTAGTTTTTATGTGAAATACTTGAATAAGCTTATCCCTCCTTTCACACTCCCTTTTGCCTTCAAGTTTAGGGAAAACTGGCGAGTAACTTGGACCAAAGAATTACATGTTCAGAGTGTCGGACCATTAATAATACCAGAGCCATCTAGAATCAAAAGTCCGGTTATTCCGGTCCCAGGGAAAAAAATAAAATAAAATAAAATCGGTTAGAGTATACCATAAATGGATACTCACCGATTATGGCTGACACCCTAGTCAAGCAGAAATGCGAGAAAATAGAATGTACTTATTGCACCTGACACTACCTAAATCTGCTTTGTTTTTCTCTCTAGCAGCCCTTTACAGTCCACTCCTGGACATAGAGCTTCTCCCCCTTCTAATTGTTGGTTGCTACTTTCCACCTTCCTTTTTCTCCACAACATTTAACAAGCATCTTTCCGATCTTCCGAGTCGTGTAGTTGTAGTTTCTGCTCGAGCGGAAATATTTTGTCCATAGTTATGACATCTTCCGTCTTCGTTCTTCGTTTGAAATTTGTAACGAAGTTACTTTTTTTTTTCTTTCCGCTACCCGCCACTGAATACCCGCCCTGCTTTTACGCCGGGAGTACCACCACGCCACCCGACCGCCGTCCAGCGGAAAGCCAGAAGGGCCTTACAAAATTGGTGCCCGAGCAGGGACCGTTTAGATTTGAAGTAGGGAGTTGTCTGACCGTATTCCCGAACTTGTGAAGTTCACTGATTTTTTTACGGTAGTAACTAACAAGTTTATTTCCAAAAGAAAACAACCAAAAAAAAATTATGTCTCTATGGCCTTTATAGGTTTATTAGCATCACTCTGGTTTTCTTGTATGCATCTTGAGTAGTATGTAGTATCCCAAGCATCCTTCTTTCTATGGCTCTTTGCGTGGTTTCTAGTCTGTTTTCTGGTTTTATTTTAAGTGAAGTATTGTCCGTCGTTTTTAATCTGACACTTTCCGTATGAGGAGCGAGGGCGTGGAGTATATGGCAAAAACATGTGTGACGTTAAGTGACCATTGACGTTCTAATGTAACCAGCTCACATACCTTTCGAGTATCAGATTAAAATCGACGTACTTTAGTTTCCATGACATTCACATGAGTCATTTTAGGTAGGATGCATAAGTTAAATAATTAGGTACCTTTTTAGGCCTATAGGGATTTTCAGATCCCTAAGAACTCTTCTAAGCTCAGTCATCGCCCAAGTCAATAAGATTCTTCTACTTATTTCCTCTAAGTGAACACATTTCCGCCTTCAATGTCACATCTATTCAAATAAATCCATGTTTTATTTTTTTCTAAGTGATTTTTTCTCTTCTTCAGTTGCTTTTATCCAACTTTCTTTATCTGGGCTTCTAAGGGCTTCGTCATAGGTAAACGTTGCATACATATTCTGTATCATTGAGAATATATTCTTTTAGTTTTATTGGTACTTTTACTTCTGTTCCTTCTTCTGTTCTTTTTAAATCAATTTGATTTTCAGACTTACTTTCACTTTTCCTTCTCTCAATGAGAAATATGTCTCATGTTGCTCATTTTCTTGATTATCTACTTCGTAATTTAATTTTAATTTAGTATCCAAATTCAGATTTTCCTAAATTATTTCTCGTCAGTAGAGTGTTTTCACAGCTATCAGACCAATACCCACCTCTACCACGTAAAAACCCCCCTCCAGCACAGCCATCACACTACTATCCACCTCCACTGTAAGCCCCCTTCCGTGAAGCTCCTACCCTAACGAGGCACCTTTTTGGCTCAAGTGCCCCCGGCTATCAGACAGACCAATACCCACCTCTACTACGTAATTGATCCACCAGATTCACAAATTTTGGGGTTGGCCCGGGTCAAATTCCCAAAATTTCAGATCAAAGACGCCGCCGATCTAGAGATTTTCCCACGGTATCGAAAAAGGTCCCACGCTCAAATGCTTTCAGCTATTAGACCAATATCCATCTTTACTACGTAAATGGTTCACCAAATTCACAAATTTTGGGGTTGGCCCGGGTCAAATTCCCAAAATTTGTGAATCTGATGGACCATTTACGTGGAAGAGGTGGGTATTGGTCTGATAGACGGAGGCACTTGAGCCAAAAAAGTGCCTCCTCAGGGTAGGAGCTTCACGGAAGGGGTTTACAGTGGAGGTGGGTAGTGGTATGATGGCTGTGCTGGAGGGAGGTTTTTACGTGGTAGAGGTGGGTATTGATCTGATAGCTGTGAAAACACTCTACTCTCGTGTTTCGACACCAAGCCATAAAGTCATTTTGTTTACCTATATTCTCTGCCGTTATCACAACGTATTTTTGATACTTTCATGTAGGCTTCCGCCCCTTTTATAAATTTATAATAGATCCTCCGCATATGCTTGAACCTCGACCCCCCATAGTTGTATCACGGCCAGAAGGTCATCACAGTCGGAGATAATAGTTTCCTCTTGCAAAGAAGTCGTTATCATTCTACCGTTCAGCATGGTCCCCAGTTACAAATTAGCAGGTCGATGACTCTAGATTTTAATGGCATCGCACTTGTAAGTCATTTATTTCCAATGTTAATACCATCTGCCAAGTCCAATGAGTTTTTATATTTACAATTATTCCTTGATTCCTAATTTTCTATGCCAATTTTTCCAAAAGTTCTTGATCTTCTGGGATTAGTTTTACGATGTACAGGATATTTGATAATATTTAGGCCCATACCTACACCATTTCCAACAGTATTTAGGAAAGTATTACTTGGATTTAAGAAAGTGTCATTTGTAATTTAGAAGTAAGAATTGTATTATCGATAATTTCAAATGTATTTTAGTAATGCCACATATGTTTTAGAATGAAGCAATCGCATTTCAGAAACGCCATATGAATTTTAGAAACAATCATTTGAATTTAAGAAACGATCAATTGAATTTAAGATTACATGTAGTACCTATAAATACTTACAGAGATGGACATCTCTTGTGGCAAATTTGACATAAAAGGGAAATTTTTAAGAAATCAGCCAGTGTTTTTTACAGTTATAATATTTACGGAACTCTATGTATGTACATAAGTAGGATACTCTTATAACAGGAATCTACATAATCTAACCTAATACCTATAACTATGTAAAAAAAAAACAATGCTATAGTCCAACTCACTGTCTTCTAAGCCTATTGCGACAGCATGGAAGGTAGTGGGGGTAGTC